CTTTTTTAACTCGATTTACGCTGATCCCACGTATGGGTCATTCATTTGAAAAGGGTTCCAGCTTATGCGAACAATGTTGTGTATATCATGGTACGGACTCCATGGAAACACCCCTTACACTTTTTACAGTGTAATAAAGCAGCTATCTTATGAGGATCGACATGTTTCTCCAAAAGAACAAAGGTGTCATCCACATAGCGACGTCGAAATCTTACTTTATTCTGTCTCATTAACGCAAGATTCTTATCCTCAAAATCTGTCGTAAAAAGTTCAGCCATTAATGGCGCAATGGGAGCACCCATAGAGACACCGTCTATTTGATCATATAGCTTCCCTCGAGGGAAGTTATATTTTTATGTTTTAATCTTTTAATTTTTCATTATTTTATTAAAACTTTTATTAAAATTCTTAAGATGATAGCTGCAATAGTTCTGAAATTTATATTTTTAATCTTGCCCATAAACTCAAAAAACGTTAGTAAATCGTTTCTTATTTCTTCTATATTATTTTTCTTAATATGTACTAGATACTTGTAATCGACATGTCTACTGGTAAAGACTACGTACCACAATTAAAGACATTGATTGATAAACATGATGTAGAGACATTTGAGCGTTTATACAAGAATGTAATCCATGAGCTTGATATTTATGAACAAAATGAACTCTTATTCCGAACGTGCCGTTTAGGACCAGTTGAAATCTTTCAAATTTTATTTGAAATGAAGGAGAGTAAGGACCTTAACAATGTTTTACATCCCACAACAAAATCTACCCTCTTACATTATGCAATTAAGTATGGGCAACATAAAATTATCGATTATCTTCTATCTTCAAAGTCATCGTGTTTTAACGTAAAAAATGTTTTCGGTGAGACTTGTTTGTCCGTTGCAATTGATCTTCAAAATTTGGATGTGGTCAAACACCTTTTACATCATATCAGCGCTGAATCAATTGATGAAGATTTGATCACTCACGCTGTTTGTCACTATATAAATGAAATTCGGATAACAACAACATTGGCAGCTCATAAAGCATTTGCAGCTGTACAAGTTCTTGTCGCACATTCATCAAATAATTTATCCGATCAAGTTATTTCGAAAGCAGTGCATAAATTAGTCAAACGTCTTAGTTGGTTGTATTCAACCACCCTAAGTGATGACCAATGGTTATACTTAAATGAAATAATGCGCTATTTTGTTGAAAAACTAAAATGTTCACTCAGTTATAAGGACAAAAACAACCGCACATTAATGATGCTAGCGTGCCGCGCATCTTCGGTGTCACTTGTTGCGTATTTGCTTGAAAAAAGGATTACATTACAGTGTTAACGATCAAGATTCAAACGGTGAAACATGTCTGTTCTATGCTGTTGAAAGAAATGATAATACGGATATGATTGATCTCCTGATTGATAAATGCCATGCATTAGTTGAACTTCGTAACGGACAAAATTTAACAGCTCTACATAAGGCAATTCGTCTGAACAGTTTTCAAAATGTCAAACATTTGCTTACAAAATTAGATGATGTCCAAAAAATATTTTTC